GGATCAATTCAACTACACTGACAGCTGCAGCATCTTAGAATGTCTCAAACACTCATGAAATGTCCCATGATCCAGTATTACATCATCCAGGAGAGGTACAAGGGGGCGTTTCCACCCAGCCTCTGCACAATATAAACCCCATGAAACAAGAGTTTTGTGGACTCTTTCCCTCCACCACTTGATAGGTACAGTCTGCAACCACTGAGAAGTCCAAAAGAAGAGGACCAACGGGATGTCGTTGGAATCTACAGAGTAGTGATATCTTTTTTCTAATTAATCTGTTTCTCTGTCACTCTCTTTCTCCCCCCCTCCCCTTTCCCCTATCTCTCTCTCCTTCCTTGAGCTTGTCATTAACTGTTAAATAAAATCCATACTGTTGACTTCGGCATATGGTCTCATTTGCACCCTAATTCAGGCAGAGGCATCTCTCTAATAATTTTAATAATTGGATCGTAACACCTTCAGCTTCCACCTCTGATTCCACCCTGAAGAAGAAGAAATGGACCTGTCAGAGCTCTGGGATAGGGGTACTATTTAACTATGCTAAGAAATAAACACAGAAGCGACAATATGCATTCAGAGTACTACACAGTCTTTAAAGAAAGCTTTTTATCTGCAGGCTCTGAGTCAGCTCCTATCTGTGGACACCAGCACATGCTTTGGGGCTTCACCAGGATCACCCAAGAGGCTGATGAAGTTCTTGTGCCAGTCTCCACACAGCTTCCTAGGAAAGGCAGAAAACCATACAAGAGAAGCTTTAATGGGGAGAGCAACATATGTGTCACTGGGTACTTTGGCAATTTTCACTCCATCAGTCATCTGTATTCCTGCCTTTTCCTCAGCCATTATGTGGAGCTTTACAAGCAACTTTACTGAAAACCATCCCTGCAGAGTATGGTCTGAGCAGTGCTAAAGTTTGAGTCTCATTTATACCAAGATGTCTTTCCCTGGAAAGCGAAGGTCAGGAGATACAGGGCAGGATACTGCAGACATAGAATTTTACTGGGATGCTTCTACCATGAATTGCATGGCAGATACACTCCTCCCTGGGGTTAGGGTGCCTCTTTGGGTGAGTTCCCTGTTACTCTAGAAAAGGTTCCAAGCCCACAGAGCCACACCACGGTACACATTCACATCACCTCACCTTGGGCTAATATTAGCACCATAATTACCAGCACTGGCTGCAAGACTGGAATTTTGGGTTTCTTTCAGCAGTTTGCTGTTATTTACAATGTCATCATTCTCACATTTGTTTCCTTACTTCACTGCAGTGAAGTGAAGACTTTCCAGCAGTTTCATGAAACAAGAGCCCCCTTGCAAGCCCAGTAGCAAGGGTCTGCCCCAGTCCAAAGAAGGGCACAGTTGGGCACTCCTTGGGAAGCTGAAGAGAAAGAGGCAGAGCAGGATTTTGAGTTCCTGGAGGGAAATCAAACTCCAAAATTATAAAATCAACCCTTCTCTCTCTGCCCTCAAGCATTCTGAATTATTTATAAAAGCAGCTTAAGCATGGGAGATGATCATGAAAAGCCAAGACTCAAACCTCTCCCATCTGCAGTCCAAGGGAGTGCCATTTCACGAGGGATGTTTCCTTTCATCGTCATTCTTGATTTATGAACACTTCAGAAAAACAGTATTTCCCAAAAAAAGTTTGCTTGGGACAAAAAAGTCACCCTCCAAGAGAAGTTTCTGAAATAAAACTTCAGTCAGGTCTAATAATTACACTGACATAATCACATCAATAAACCATTCCACAGGGAACCTAGTCTGAGTCACTTTAAATAAAAGGTGTCTAACCGTTCAAAAAGAAATATAAGTCCACCTCTACCTGACACAAATCAAGAAGATGACTTAAAGGTCAGAGATGTGGTACAACTGCCTGTGGGCAGCGAGGGCTGGTCTTAAAATTCCACGTTCAAGTGGGTCCTGCCCTCCCAGAGGATGCTGACGTGCTACGCCAGGACTGCACGTCCACCCTGGCACAGTCCCAAAGTTAGCAAGTGCTGAAAACTACCACCCACATATTCCTGCACTATCCCACTTCCAATGTCCTCTGAAAAATGGTTTTTTTTTCTTAAAGCATCTCACAAAACTCTGTACGTTGTTATTATTATTTTTGTTGTTGTTATGCTGTGGACAATATATGCATGGACAAATCCTGGAGAAAAAAAAGGTTTTTTTCCAGACATACAAAACCTTTTACTCTGTGCAAAGAGAAAAATTTTTTAGTATGAAGGAAAACTTGAGGCTACCTAAACAACACAAACAGAACCACGTTTTCACAAGAGCTGCTGCAGTCAATTCAGAAAAGTGGGGTTTGTGAACAAATATTAGAAAAACATAAATAAAAATGAAGCTCGGGAGAAATTAATGAAAGAAGTCTGTTTACAAAATCTAGCTCAGTAGCTGGAGACTGTACATCCTTAGTCTTTATTTTTTCACAAGAAAAATACAGAAAACAAAAGAAAAGCCAACAAAATAGCACACGAGGGAGTGTTAAGTCAGGACAAGAGGTGTTATTCAGAGTCAGGGATACACCCAAGACTGCTTTACTTGTTAACAGTAACCAAGGGAGACCACTGTTCTTTAATTACATTTTTTAAAAGTCTAAACTAGTAGGCACCCATTAAATTCTAAGTTTTCCACACCTCCCTATTTCATAACCTTCTGTAAGTGTATAGGAAATACATTTCCCAGCACTGGGCTTCAAATAAACCATTTTCTATTTAAACTGTTATGTGTTTCTTCGATTAAAAAACCTCTTGCTATTTTCCTAAGACCACACACTTATATTAATTAAATCTATGAAATCATTCAACAAAACAGTCAATGCTATAAATGGATAAAATATTAGCTTACCACCAAAGAAAACAATACAACTGCTATACTCCACACATACCTAATTCTCCCCTTCACATTTATTTAGGAATATGCATATGTACAGACAGAAGATAAATTAGGGACTAAAGCTTAAGGCTGCACCAAGTCCTTGATTTACATTAAGACTGCAACAACTGTGAATGTGTAATACAATAGCTGAGATGGTGCAATTACTCACTATTTATGCAAAGAAAACAAAAGTAAAACTATGTATTTTACCAGCACTTTCATCAAGATCTAATCTGCTTTCAGAGATTTCATTATGATCCACATTTCCCAAATACTGGCCAATTTCAATACCATTACTGTTGGATGTCCAAAACACCTATGCTATGTTAGGAAGCTGCACAAATCATACCGTAACAAAAGCAAAAACCAAAGAAAGTTTTCTGGCTTAAAAACCCTGACAGTTTAAGGAAAGGGAAAACTTATCTTAACAAAAGCATAAAGCAATCATGAAGTAGGTATTTTGATATCTCTATTCACAAACTGAAGGAATTCTGGTGCCAATTCATTCTGATGCAAGTTTTGGCCCTGGTAGATGATAGGAGACCCAGGGTTTCCCCAGGCAAACAATTCCACTTCTTCACTGTCTGCAACTGTTCAACTAGACTACAGGAAAAACATTTTAGACTCTTTTGGTAAGAATCTAATGCTCATTACTTGTTCTCTCTAAGCAGGAATGGATTTGATTAGATACTTCTACACTAGATAATTTTAAAGCTCTGAGCTTCAAGCCTAGGCATGGGATGTAAAATATCATGTCCAGCCATATGCCGAGTGGAAATGTTGGAAGGCCAGTGTCTAGATTTAATGTCAAGTGATTCCAACAGATCAGTCCAACTCAGTACTCTAGTATTTGACCATCAAAGATCTGTCAAAACTGTAACAACCATTTATTTCCTCCATTCTAGTACAGACAGTATCCCTCAAAAAACTCCTTGGAAACTTAGTATCTAAGTTGGCTTTAATACACCATTTTAACATACCTTCATGACATCTATGACTAGTGTGCAGCAGAGAATAACCATGCCTTAGTAAGTCCTAGGATTTAGCCTTGTGGTTAGAAAAAATCCCACAAAGTCAAGTTCTGAATACAGGATCTCACCATGCAGCTCCTCTTGTCCAATGGCAAAGCCACTATAGGAAGTCCCTGTCCTGCCACAGCTGTAAACTCTCACTGCAGTTTCCTCCTTGCATCAGCCAACACAAGTATGCGTGGAGCTGGGTTTCAAAGAAGTTTTTTAAGAAAAAGAAAGAAAAATACAGAAGTGAGAGCTTACCAAGCTGGCTCTGACACTAAGAAAAGCCATATGGGATCATATTCTTTGCTACAGCAGGAGGAAGGGTGAATACTGAAGTTAGCCTACTACAACTTCACCTCAGCAGTCTGAGGGATCAATTGAAAGTGCACGAGGACCAGCAGCAGCCTTTTGGAGGTGGTACACTACCCCACACAGCTCTCCAGCAGCATCACATCAGCTCATTTCCCACAGTCTGCACTGTGAAACCACTGCACTATGCTGGCTGATAGAAGGAGAGAGGTGATAAATTTTAGGAGCTGCCTTTGCACTTTTACAGAAGACAACCTTCAGTAAGAGTTGATATAACATAATACAATAGGATACAATTCAGAGGAAAAAACAAGTGACTCATATTGAACTCAAGCATGTAAATAATCTGAACTGGAGATGTTAGTTGCAGTGTGTAAGCAAGTGAAGCTACAGTGCACAGTGACTTTTTAGGATGAACTCAAGTAGTTTGTTAATTTGAAGGTATCTGGTACTGAAAACCCAGGATGAAAGTGAAGAGGAATAGCAGCTAACCTTGGAACCCTATAATAAATGAAGCTGGAGAACTTGAACACAAAACACAGCACAGAACACAGCATACCGCATTAGATTTGGTCAAGTCACAGGGCAAGCTGCTTTCTAAACTTCTATAAAACACCTCTGCAGTTTAAACATAGATCAATATACTTACCATTTGGGTACACACACAGGAAGGCTGGCATTGATTAGAATATGTCAGCATTCTTTATAAATACTATTTCAAAACTTAAAGGCTTAGCAGCCTTTAAATATAATAAAGCAACAAATAAATTAGACCAACTGCATACATACATGAGCTGCTTGGCCGATAGTGAGCCCCTGGGTACCGTCTGCCCATAGTGCCAGTCAGCACATCACCACACACTGTCAGCTGCTTTCCAAGTACAGATCGAAATTCTTAACTGAGGGAGAAAAAAAAAAGTGAAGATTTAGTACAACAGCTGTATCTTTTTCATTAAAATGCTAATGACCCCTACAAATTTCAGGATAACTACATCTATAAATTATTCACAGTCACGTTGTCAGAGGAGATGAACTGTTGTGCTGTACATGCAGCACAAATTTATTATTAGTGGTTGTCCTTCATTAATAAGCTCACATAAATTTTGAGGCACAAAGAAGTCTCAAGTCATACTGTAGCTTCTTTTGGCCCACGATACTGACTAAACAACAAACACTGTAAGAGTTTGCTTTTGGTTTTTAATAGAGTTAGCCAGTAGGTGAGATTTAATAACAATGTCGTCTTAAATTCTGTGAAGCAACTGTTAAGCAACAAGTTTATGAACAGTTTGCCATAGAAGCAAAACTTATCTGTGCTACGTAACATTGATCACTTTGAATATGTCCCTAAAAAACACAGTGTCTTTACAGGAATGCAGGATATTGACTTGTACATCAATTTTCTTGAAGTATCAAAACAGCAATCAAACAAGGAAATGCATGGTACATCTTATGGTCAGTTTGGAATAACAAATTGAAAGTCTTAATTGAAATGCTATTGAACCCGTCAAATTATTAGCATAAAATGTTTTAATCTAAAAACAAGTCCCATTGTATCTTTCTTCTGTGCAGGATTTGTAGTAAAATATGTATTTCAGCTGCTTTTCAGCTTTACCTTTTTCTTAGTCTACCTGAATAGCCTTCATATTCCCAGATGTCTTCCAATATATATTGCATGTAAACCACACAATTTGTAAAGCTACATTTCCTCTTATTTCGTTCTCTCCCTTGCTAGAAAGACCAAGGAAAGCAACAAATTCTGAGGAGTGTTTTTCCTAATTCATTAAGGATTTTTACTGTCTCAGGCTGCAGCTACAAGAACATACTTGTTCTATCCAGAAAATAGAGATATCAGGACAGAGATGAAATAGCACTGCACCAAAACTGGGAGAGTTCCACAAATCTTCAGACATGTCAGTTCCCCGCCTGAGTTCCTGAATTAGATAAGCCTTTTATATATATTGGCATCTATGCAATTCTCTGGTGAACTGGTCTGGGAGCCAACACAGCTGAAAACTCCATATACAGACATATTTTCAGTCAGCTTAGGCTCCTGAACTGGTTCATGGTGGTTGCACGAGCATCGGTAGCTAGTGAGGGCAAGTGGAAAGAACGAGACCATGGCAGTCTGAGTTTAAAATGACTTAAAATGCATTTGCATAACATTGCTACAGCCTCTGTAAATTACTTCTGAAACAGACACCTACAAGCCTGCATAACTGACAGTGCAAAAAACAGGTAAAGACCTCCATTATTTTCCAAATCAGTGCTAACAAAGCATGTCCTGTTCAACTCCCCTCAATGGAGAAAGTTCAGTCAATCAATGAGACAGTACTCTCCTGTCACTAAAAGAATTCCGGTTGTTAAGATGAAAAGTGAGTGGTAAGCGGTAAAATTAACATTCAGTCAAAAACTCCTGCATTTCTTTTGCAGGGCAATATGGGACAACTCCTTGCCATGGGTCAAACAGATCTTTTCAAATTTCTGTGGTGGCCTACTAATTCAACACATGTTGTACAAGGAAAAAAGCTGCAGATGGCTGCTTCCCCTTTCCTGGTCTATAGGAATAAAACTAAAAATACACACTTATTAGTAGAAAAAAGCTAAGTCTTTTCTCATCCCAAATAATTCATAACAAAAGACATCAGAACAGTCTTTAGCTGTGCAAGGATAAAAAAACATTTACTAAGGGGAAAACAAAAACTGTAACCGGATGACAGTATTTACAATTCTTTTCCCTAACTTGTGAAAAAATTCAATCAGTATGTATGGAGCTGCAAGATTACTCATTTTTCATAAATGCATTCCTGTCTTTCTAGAACGTGTACACTCTTCCAAAGCTATAACACTATCTAAATTATATCAAATATTTGTCTACATTTGAGGCACACTATTCCTTCCCTACCTAGTATCATTGCCTTCTGCACCATACCATAACAAAATATCCTAACAGATATAAATTAAGAATCCTAAACTTCACAATTACGCTCTCAAACAACTTAAGCACAGCATGGTCCTCCTGAAGTAGAGTGCCCACTGTGGGAACAAACCACTCTTTGGAGAAGTCAGGTGGGGACCAAAAGGTATGACCATTTTTATATATCCTATTTTAAAACCCTAGAAATCTCAGTGGAAAAGACAACATAAAGATATATTCTCATTATAGCAAAAGTTTCATCAGTTACTGTATAAAACAGCAACTTCAAAGATTTACAACCTGGATTAAGGCCAACTATCAAAAGCCAATTTAGAAGTAAGTGCCACACACTAAGTGAAGTTAAACTGCACTGCAAAATAATACTGATACTGGGTTGTACATATCAGCAGGGACATACCTAGATCTTGAATGAAGACGCTGCTTGCATTTTGTTGGTTTTTTTGCGGTTTTTTTTTTGGGGGGGGGGGGGTTTGTTTTGTTTTAGTTTTAGTTTGTTTTGGTTTTTTCCCCCAAGAACCATTTTTGAATTGTGACCAGACTAGCCAAAACGGCCTGCCTTTTCTTTAAGCACATCCACTGAGATGAATCTCAAGGGCATTTCTGGATTTCAGCAAGCTCAGGGAACTCTCACAGAAAGGTAGGTGACCTTGTTGGTATCCAAATGCCATAGCTACAAGCATCTGAAAACTAGCACTTATTTTCCATATACATCCATAAGAATGATAAACAAAATGGAAGGAGGTCTCAAATACTGTTTTCAAAAAGTACAAGTATCATGCATGTACAAGTTTGGGTTTGGTTTTGTCTTTAAATGTACATGACTTAGATATCCAAACCTGCACATAAATCTGAGTTAAACCTGAATGTACCTAATATGTCAGATCAGGTCTTCTTATTAGTTTTTAACATTTGTTTCGTAAAATATGTGTTTTGTAACAGCTTTCTGTGTTTTTTTGCGTATTATTCTACTTCAAAATTGCTTTAAACATGTTTTATAGTGATTTTTACAACTTCATAGTTAATTTTAAAACTACACATACACCATGGAGTTTGTATATGTAGTACAATGGACATATAGCCTTATGACTTCTCTTCAAGACATAACTTGACAGAGCTCTGCCTGAAGGGGTTTGTTGGTTTTTTTGTTCACTTCTGATAATCTTCTCTGATTAGTTTCAGGTGACCAGCCCCACGATGCAGCAGTTACAAACAACCATGGAAACAAAACCTGAGCCCTACCACTGCATACCTGCCACCCAGGGCAGCACTGGAAAGCATTACCCACTTCACGTCATGCCAAGTCTTTTTTAGGAGCTGTGGTGACAGAAGTATCAGCTACTCATCATCACACATAATGAGGACATAAATCATCTTGCAAAGAGGCCTGCCATGGCTTTCAACCAAGACTGTCATCTTTCTACGCCACTTTCTTTACAGAGCCTCTTTTGTTGCAACGCTTCTATGTTTCTTGGTTTCTATGACTGCTACGTAAGAGTTTCATTTTACTTGTATTAATCTTTTGACACTATGGAAAAAAAAAGGAAAACTAAGTTCTGGTACTGTTTGTGGGTTTCTTTCCTAATGAGAGTGTCAAAAAAAGAGTTTTGTCCATAAGACAAGGCACACAGCGTCCAGTTTGTCTGAACTAATTCCATTACCTATTGTTTGAGGACAAACAACCCATAGTCCAACCTCCATACTATTAATGGCCATTAAACATATTTTGAGTTTCCTCCAAATTTATTTTTTCATGCATGCTGCTGTTCAGGAGGTCAGCTGGCTCCTTAATCTTCCGTGGTTCTCTACAAGCAACATTTGCTATAAATACATGTGTGTTCAAACACAAATGTAAGTACATTCACACTGGCTGCTATTATCTCATAAAACGGATTGTGCCAGCAAACCTACCTGCACATGCTCAAGAAAAAGGATATGACTGCAAATGACCTACAGAAGTCATCCAAGTATGACTGACTACGTCACAACACTTGCAAGGAACAGCTACACACAGTGTCGGGAAAGAAAAGGTTATTGTATGATGTTTCTTAAGGGACAACTACTCAAAAAAATTACATTCCAACACTCTCTGAGTGATATTCTGACAAACAACACAATCCCACCTTTAAAGTCTTGCTTTGAATACCAGGAAATAGTCCTGCTAGGGAATGGGTAAGAGGAACGCCTTGCATTGCTTTAAAAACACACTCAGGCCACAGGTCCTAAACAAAGCGGACCCACTATAGCAAAGGGTTGAGATACTAAAAGAGGTTGATATAAAAAAAATAAAATAAATTTAAAAATCAGCCTGTAAGGCTGGTGGATGGCTCATTTTGAAATAAGAAAGTACAACTGTACATACACAGAAATTTTGTGTACATACGTACATATTTGCATATTTAATGCAAAAATGCTTCCCACAGTCAATCCCTTTTCACTTTGCCTGCTTTCAAAGGACTGACAGGCAGCACCACCTGCATGACAACCTTAACAAAACGCAATTTAATCAAACAAGCAAAGTGCCAGCCAGGCCATTAGGAATTTGTGCTGCTGGTTTCTGGAGGCACATAGAGAGACAGCACATTCATTTTCTGTATTGGAAACAGCTATTGGATGCAGATCTCTCAAGCCAAACTGCCTCTTGGAGAAAGCACAATGTTGTACCAGCCAGATATCTTCTATCATTGCAAGTGTGACCTTCTTTCAGGTCATTAATGATTCATAACCATTATTCTTCATCTAATAACCACATCTTTTTTTAAAAATAGATATTTTCATTTCAGAGACCTTTTTTTCCAAGTCTTCCGTTACCCAAGAGACCTTATCTGCCTTTCCAGTTTTGTCTGGCAGCACTCAGACTGAGGAGGTTATGCTGTCCCCTCCACCTACCTTTGCTGAGAGGCAGGGAGCCACCCTGCTTTCCAAAGGATTCACTCCCTGTCATCTCCACTTACTGGCACAGGATAA